AAAAAAAAAAAAAAAAACACAAAAGAAAGATGACATATTCTTCAAGAACCATGTTGATGTACCTATAACAGGACAATGCTTTTCTCATCCTTAGTTTTCAGAGCAGCAATGCCTCTGAGCTGGGTTGGGAACAGAACTTCAGAGGGAAYGCAGAAGATTTGCACAGTGAAATTTTAATCCTTAATGAACATTTGCTCCTCTCTATTATCCCTCAAGCTGCTACTGATCAGTCGATTTTGACATTTAAAAAACTGTTTTCCCCCCTTAGGGGATTCTTTCATGAAGGGAAAAAAATTAATCAGCCTTAATTTCTGAGCCTTAAWATCTCTAAATTATTGATATACATCATACAGAAAATTACAGAAATTTAAATGAAGTAATACCTACAGCAAATGGATTTCAATATTCTCACCAAAGACCTGAGACAACAGGCAACACCTGAGAAGAGGCAGCCTGCCAAGTTCATAAGTAAGCAAGTTCATGCCTCAACAGAGTATTGCTCTCCAGCTTTTACATAGAAAGCATCTTTTAAAAAAMATGGAGACATGTTAGTACTGTCCTTCTAGTCTCTGCAATTCTGTCAAAATACAGTTTTCACGTGTAACACAGGAATTTGCTAGCATTTTTTATGATACGGACTGCCCAGAAAAGAAAAAGCCAGGAGTTTATTTAAACTAACTACACTTAATTGTTGATGTCCTCAGGAGTTTGGTAGCCATGCCCAGGACTGTGGTAGTTGAGCAGCCAGCATTTGTTCAGCATGTATCAGTCTCCTGTGAGGGCCTTTGTCAGGTTATTGGTTACAACTGGGAGCTGCAGTCACTAGGATATCTGAGCATTCCTACCAAGGAAGCTGTATCTTAACAGTGCACTAACAAATACTGATAAACTAGAGATACAGAGCATTACACCTTACTGACTTGAAGACAGAGTGGTCTGGATGTCATAAATCCCTAAGTTACTAATTGCCAAATCCTGAGGCAGCATGCCAAATGTAGTCTACAGATTTCCCATTGCCTTTATTTCTCCTTAGCTATTCACATACAGGTTGTCAAGCCAGGGTGTCTGGCCTGATACAGCAGAGCCATTCTCTTTTCTTATTTTTGAGTGATACAAATATACAGATAYGTGGTTAAATTCCCTCCCTTAGATGTAGGTAACAGAGGAAGCATTCCTAGAAATAGTGGTCAGTAAGTACCATGTTATCCTCTGTGAGCACATTTCAGTCTCTACCCATGGACCACCAGTAAATTTCATGATAGAAATGAKAGATGAGTACAGAGTGACAAAACTAAGCAGCAATACCAGCCAGCTTGCTAGGAAAAGCTCATGGACCTTAGCTGATAGTTTTCTTAAGTAACAAAAGAGCTTTTTTTAAAAAAAGGCTTTGAGAAAGAACAAGACCATACTAGTTATCCAGCTATAGCTGATCAATTGAATCAGCACCAGATAACAAAACCATCACGCCATGTTGGGAAAAAGATCAATATTTGCTTTAGCATATTACACTGATACCCGTCTTCTCAACACAGAAACCACTTATTATTCCAGCAGCAATATCTCAATCTGTGGCAAATGTTTCATCGTTTCTATTGTTTGGGGGAACCCAGATCCACAAGTCAAAACTGTCTCCAGCAAGTTCAATTAACACACTGCTTCATCCTACATGCACRGAAGTTTAATCACTAGAGAACAGGATGTAGTTTAATATATACCAATGCCTTCAGCATATTATTTTGTGGCTTTGTGCATATTAAAGTATGCCTTATATTATATACTGATTTTGTATCATTAAGCAGTTTGCAAATAAACACATGGGTGCCTGCACAACAGTCACTTCCTAAATCCCAGTGAGGAGACCAGGGACATTGCTGGGGCCCAAAAGTGAGCCTTAGAAGCTGCACATTGTCCCCTACCATCACCTTATCTCTGACCAAAACCCTGGTATCCCTGCTGTAGGGTTAAACTCTCATTTCCCTCTCTCAYTGTCTGGCCCAAGATACCACCACTCTGTGGATAACAGGTAACCAAGTTACCCTGTCCTGCATTTGACTTTGTACATGCTCGAACAACACTGTCCCGTTTCACATCATGGGTACAGAAGTTAGCAGGATAGTAGCTCAACAACTCACCTTCTAGCTTTATTTTATTAAAAAATGCTGTCACTTGATTTGTGTACATTAGAGAGAAATGAAAATAAAAGGCTACAGCACTGGGAAAGCAGCATTTCAGCCAAATCTCATTGATTTTTTTCTTTGTTTTAATGGTTTTGCCTTTAAAAGAACCCTTCAATCTACTTTATGCCTGGGTACTACTCACCTCCTGAYACAAACTGAACCTCACTGACAGATGTGCAGTACTGAGACACACGGCTCACACACCAAGGATAAATCACTGCTCAATTGCTGTGTGAGAAACAGAAAACCTACACCTGTTCCAAATAGGAGGATATCAAACATGCTGGTAAATGCAGCAAAATGAATTCAGCGTTCTTACTCAAAATATTTCCAAGCTTAAAAACAAAGACTTTCTGCTAAACATCAAGCACATCCGTTGCATTCACTGACAGTGACAACTTCTTTTGTGCACATGAACCATGAAACCTATGATTCAAAAATGGGGGTGATGTAACMTCTTTGCTTTGTCAGTCCAGCAGCACTTACAGGCTCAGAGATTTCATTTCTCCAGGTGACTTTCTGCCTGGGGTTGGGTTGGACAATGGCACAGCGTGATCAAGAGCAGACAGCACCCAGCTTCACAGATATGGTGTGGGTGTTGCATGAGCTTGAAACGGGGCCAGACCTGCCCTAGGACTGTCAGTCCCTGGCCAAGCCAATGAACCTCTAATAACAGTAATTACAGGCACAAAACTTCCACCTATAAAAATTATCTGGTTTGGTTTTTTATCCAAAGCAGGTACTRTGAAATTGCAAAACTTCATGTATTTGCTGTTTCAGCAGTATAACACTAATGGCTTGACACTATGCTTCAGCCTGGAGCTGTTTTGGATTTGTGCTTAATACGGTGAGAAATAGCACGATTTTAGCATTTGCCAATTTTCAGTTTTAACAGCCTTAGTTTTCTAGACTCAAGACTGACAACACTTCTCTTTCAAAAGACAGAAGCCCATTCAAAGCAYTTTTCTCTTTCATGGAACTTATACCCAAACTTTTCTGGTCTGCTGCACTTGGAGAACATAAGATAGGACACCACATGGCATTTTAAGCCAGCACATGGTGGGAATCTGTTAATGGGCATTTCTTTCATCTAATCCAGAAACTCTTACATATCCCAGTATTTCAGAACTTATTTTTGCTTCTGGTGTCATGCCCCTGGATAACGAACAGGCAAATCACTGTTAGAATGAAAACTTGTCTTTTCCCTTTGAGGGTGAACTTTGGCAGCTTGCAGCACAGAACAAGGAAGCACAGGAWCGTTCAGCCAGAATTTTAAAGAGGTTCCTTTTGTATATAATGAAATTCTGTGCACATCTGTACAGCCTTTTTGAGACAGAGGCATGTTTACTCTGCCTACGCTGCACAGCAGAAGCAATGGATTTGTAGTGCAGATCCAGCCCAAGCTGGTACACTGCATGAAGAAGCAGAATTTTGCTTGTACCAATTGCTGCTGACATTTTTTCAGTATTTGTTGACTGATTTGCTTTCTACAGTGGGGATATTTAGTCTTTAACAACTATTGCATGTCTGTATTTCAGGCCAGCTTGTGATTAGCACAAGCAAGAGGGCATTTTCAGTCATCAATTCCACAACCTCAGAAAACCATGCAGCATTACAATAAAGCAAGCCTGGAGAGCAAGGGCTTTTCACATTTCTCAGCCAGGAAGATAAAACCAGTGCTTGATTTTCAGAGCCTTCTATGCAAGTTACATTGTGAATTCTAAGTTGTAATAGGCTCACATTCCCCTTACAGCTTAGTGTGCCAAATCACTTTTTCACATGTCACTCCCCAGACTTAAAGCACATCATTAAAAGATGCAGCTTTTGTCAATCAGGGCATTAATTTTTAGAGTTATCTTACTTTATCTGTTAGTCTTATCATTCATTTTACTAAGCTATGGAACCTTACAACATAYCTAGATGGACAACTTTAGCAGCTAAGCCAGTACCCCACTTATTCACTGCTCTAAACAGAATCCCTCTATCCATATCATGAATCATTAGTTGTCATAGGGCATTATCTGTTCAAGTTTTCACATGCAGATATGCAACATAAGACAGACAATCAACATAAGATCCTGCTTGGCACAAACTAGTTCCAGCCACACACAAACCCCCAAAGAACACCTAAACCTCCAACTTATTCTGGAATGCACTCACACAGTATTTTGCTTGTGCCTCCCTGATTTGAAAGTGTCACTTTTGAATTCAAGAGCTTTCAAACAAACAATGTTCCCATATTTTGTCTGTTCAGGAAAAAAAAAAAAAAAAAAAAGCTGAAAAATTCAGACGTAGGGGAGTCCAGAACATCAGAAACCAGCCCATTTCTCACTGCTTTATGTCATTTAGGATTCATCCACCTGAATTTTCCTGCAGCTAAGTGAAACTTTTTAGCCAGATCACTGGCTGCCCAATCACTGAAAGCGTCCGCCTACGAAATGACAAGGTCACCTTGGTCTGCTCTAAAGATAAACATCCCCATGAAGCACAAGAAGATAATTATTGTTAGAATCAAATTGTTGACCAAACATTCTCACAAATCGATTTTTTCATGATCACATGAACTCACTAYTCTCAACATAACTGCCATAAGACCGTTCCCTTGCTGATTTTCTGTGGCATTCTGAGGCAGTGCCAGTTGCAGAACACAGCTGCCTGCTTCTCCTGCTAAACTATAGCGAGGGGATTTTCTGCATCCTGGTCACTTCTAGTAAGCACAGCAAGATGTGGTTTTCTGCAGCAGTATTGCTACATTAGGAAAAAAAAATGTTTTCTTCCACTGCCTCTGAACTTCCACTGCATTATCAGACTGGAATAATGGTTCATGCCAAGACCTAATTCAATAACAGAAAACTAAAATTACAGACTATTTACAATGTAGCCACAAACATAAACTGTTTATCGTTTAACTATGTAATTTAGAGGTAATAGAAGAGCCAAGTACTGTATCAACAGCTGCTCATAAATCTGTGAAGATGTTTCATACTCTCCATACTTCCCCCAAATCTTTCATGTGTGGGCTAACAACCTAAAAAAATAATCTGAAAGATATCAGACCATTTGAAGGATAATATATTTGCAAGAAATACAAGGAAGATATGTGCACACTCCATTTCTCCTTGCAAATCTTAAAGCACAGATGATCATGAAGGATTTCCGGTAATGCACAGGTAGTCAGTGGCTCTGTACTTCAGAACAGACTTTTCAATAAACACTTCCCAACTTATACAATCCATGGATTTAGTTCATAGACTTAAGGCTTACCTTATCAAGTGATTCATTCATCAAGATACCTACCTATGTGAATAAGATTTGCTGCTGTGAATAGGTGCTTAGTGATAGGTGTCTATTAAAACAATAGGAACATTAATTATAGAGGAACAATTAGTGGAAAAAGTTTACCAATTYGAAATAGAAACACTTTTTAAAAGCCAGTGAGGATATTTTTCATATACTTACAGAAATGTCTGCATTTGAGCCGGTTCACTTACAAACCCTAATAATTTTCATCACCTTGTTAAATAAGAATTTTATTGAACTATGGTATATAAAGTTACTTTACGAAATTACTAATGAAAACAGCATTAGTCATGTCCCAGACTTTACGCTCATGTTCAATAAAAAAGTTGCTGTCAGAAACCTACTGATCGTCTCAATGAGGCGCCCCAGACACTAGCTTTTTAGGACCATATTTGAAGAAGAAGCCACAGAAAGAAATAGACCCCAAAAAAGAGGAAAAACCATCCAAAACTTTCAGGGAAGAAAGGAGTGCGATGCTCTTGGCCGCCCGGGCATCGCCGGGGAGCTGCTCGGCCCTGGCAGCTTCTGCACCCACGTGGAGTCACGGGCTGGCACCCAGCGATGCCCACGGGTAACGCTGGTCATGGAAAAAGCCGCTTCTTGCCCTTTTCTCTCTGGGGCAGGAAGGAGGAAAGCTGTTACCCAGCAGGAGGAAGGAGAAGATCCACTGCAGCACGGCGACTGTCTGGATCCTCCTCTTTAGAGGGATGTTGATGGGGGCAAACTCGACCTTCATGCTGCCGGCGTGAGAGCAGCGCGGGAGGCACGGACCTGCCGGCTCCGGCTCCAGCCCGAGCCGCCGCACCTGCCCGCTGCGCAGCGCTCTGCCGCGGCCCCGCCGAGCAGGACGCGCCCCTCCCGCCGCCGACGCTGCCCACGGCCCCGGGCCCGGCAGGCGGGGACGGGGAGGCGGTGCCGCCCGCCCCGGCCGCGGGAAACCTGATCCCGGAGCGGGCAGAGCCCGGGCGCGGCTGCGGGGGCCGGCGGCTGCTACACCCCCTCCTCACACGGAGCGCCGCGCCTGCCCCCGCTCTGCTCCGCACGAACGGCACCGGGCGGAGACACCGCGGCTCTGGCGGAGCGGGCACTGCGCCTGCGGAGCCAGGTGCGTCCGCACACCCAGCACCTGCGCTGCCCTAGCGGCCTTTTCCCCTCGGRGCGGCCGGAGACCCGGCAGTCTCGGGCGTGCTTAAAGCTCTTATCAGTAAAGAGCTTATGGAGCTGACCCAGAACTTAGAATTCCTGCAGTGTTTGGCGTCAAGCCTTTCGTTTTTAATTAAACCAGCACACGCACAGTCCCCTTGCGCCCGGGGCGCTTCGCCTGGAGTGTCTGAGGCAGGGATCGTCAAAACAAAACTGCGGAGTGAAAGAGACAACACCCCCCGAAACTTGCACGGCGCTGCCCCGGTAGATCCCCCTTTCTCCACAGGGACAGCGGCACTGCCGGGATTTGCCATCCCATGCGGGGAGAGCGACAGCGCTGGGAGCCACGGTCCCCACGCGGSGACAGGGACAGCGCTGGCACTTGCGGTCCCCACACTGGGACAGGGACAGTGTCACCGCCGGGACTCGCGGTCCCACACGGGCCGCCCCTCCCGCCCAGCGCCGGCGACAGCGCAGGGTCCCGGCCGCGGGCTGATGTCACCGCCGTAGCTGCCCGCCGCGCTGCCGGGACTCGGCGCGCCGCCCGCCCTGTCCCCGGGCGCAGGACGCGGGCGGAGCGGCC